CTCCAACAGGTGCACTGTACTGCGCCGAGTTGTCCTTGACGTCCGACATTTCGTAAGCGCGGTCGTCCTGCTGGGCATAAGGGTTCTGTTGCCTGCGGGATTGGTAGCCGCCGCCTCCTCCGCCGCCGTATCCCCCGCCGCCTCCAGACGCCTGCGTCGGATAGGAGTTGCTGCAACAACAGCATATTAGACACTGAAAAATCAACACTCGGCAGACCTACGAGCTGGGGGTGTTTCCGCCCTGCTGTTGAGCCTGCGCAAAATCAGTATGGGGTTTCCATGCGAGTTGTTGTCGAATGTATTCACCCTCATGGCTGCCAATCTGTCTCTGGCCATTGTTGTAGTAGATTAGTGGTAAAGGGTAGGTCGATATGAAGCTTTAGTATTCGGAACGGTGTGTTGGGGAGATGGCAGGAGGAGAATCCACAATCTCAAGAGGCTGTGAGAGGAGCAAATCGTCACACTCTTCTGAAATCACGAATCAGATGGCTTGTCACAACCTCCCGGATAGCTCTTTCCCGCACATCCGCTCCATTCCACTGCCATTCCGTTCCATTATACATGTCTATTTACGCAACACCTCGCGCAGCACGGATATCTGTCGCTTCACCATTTTTCGACTCGTTCCTCCAATAGACTCCCGCCGTTCCACGCTCGCTTCAAAGTTGAAGATGGAGTGTATGTCTTGTGCAAAATTTTCGTTTAAACCCTTGAAGTCGGCAAGCGTCAGCTCGTCGAGCTGGCATTTGCGAGACTCGGCAAGAGCAACCGCCCTGCCCGATATGTGATGCGTCTCGCGGAATGGAATCTATTATACACAGCTGAGAAAATGGCTCCACAAATAAAAAAGAGAGTGCTTACCCCCTTGCGAACAAGATAGTCGGCTAGATCGGTCGCAAGGACGTCCATCGTCAAGGCTTTCCGCATCTTGTCAGCATGAACCTGACTGAATTTGTTAATTCATCCGAGCAGGCGGTGGAAGCAAGGATGCGCACATCCATGGTTGCGATCACACCCTCTGCGATCTTCAAAGATGCAGATACGTTGTCGACAGCATCGAACAAAGGCTCTTTGTCTTCTTGCAGATCCTTGTTATAGGTTGACGGCAATCCCTTGAGGGTCATCAGGAAGCCAGCCATCTACGCGTATGGTAAGGACATAAAAGGCTTCGCAACCTAAAAAACGGTACTTGCGTTGCCAAAGATACGTCCCGATTTACCTCGCAAGAGTTCCAGTGAGTCGGGGTTTTTCTTTTGGGGCATGATGCTTGAACCAGTGCTATACGAAAAGATGAGGCTCGTTGGACAACGAAAACGACACAAACTAACCTGTATGCGTCACTCAGAGTCACGAAACCAAATTCCGCTGTGGAATATATGATCAGGTCCTCTGCCATCCTGCTTATGTGCGTCATGGTTAAGCTGGACCACATGAGGAATTCCACGATGAAATCGCGGTCGCCAACTCCCCACATGCTGTTCTCCGCAACGGAAGCAAAGCCCAGCTCTTTTGCGAGGAATTCTCGGTCAACAGCAAACGGATTTCCGGCCAGGGCTCCCGAGCCGAGAGGTAACACGGATATGCGAGGGATGAGTTGTTGCAGACGTTCGAGGTCGTAGCGGAACGATGTGGCATGCGATAGAAGTAGATGTGACCATCGTATTGGTTGGCCGCGCTGCAAGCACCATTATTGGAAGCTCAGTCGAACAAAAAACACGAACCTGGAGATGGGTATATCCTGGAAGGAGGATCTCTTGTTCCTTCTCCGCCCTATCAACGATAACCTGCAGCAGACCCTTGACGCTCTGTTCGATATCTTGTACTTGTTCGAGCAGCCATAGGCGCATGTCGGTCGCGACCTGGTCATTACGCGACCGCCCAGTGTGCAGCTTCCCGCCAAGCGGCCCTATGAGCTCGCTTAACCGACGTTCGTTTGCAGTGTGAATGTCCTCGTCGTCTTCCTGTGCTTCAAACTGCAAAGAGGGAGTTGAATACCGCGTTTCAATTTGTGCAAAACGGCGAATCGTACGACTCCGTCCTGCCATTCCTTCCCAACCTGAGCCAAGCCATCCGTGATTTTGGTTTCTTCCTCCTTGGTTATGATCCCAACGAGGGTTAAGCTTTTTGCGTACGCGATGGAACCTTGAATATCAGCAGCATGCATGCGCTGATCATATTTGAGAGATTGATTGAAAGCGTGCATCCTGTACGAGTGCGTTAGCCACGAATTGGATAACGCGTCTGAGATGGGGCTACAATGGATCCGTCTTCCCCGTAAACCGGCCACCCCATAGCTTTTGCTTGGTAGGTTGTTCGCTGGTCATGGTGTCGCGAGTCGAGTCAAGCAGAAAAATAATCGAGGTCACGTATAACGCACGTCCGAGTGTTGTCGGTTTTGTTCGGTCTTATCGGACGGACGAGGTTTTACGAGCCATCTTGATGAAATACCCTTCAGCTTTCTGCGTGTTCGCCACCAACCTGCAGCTTAGTGCACTATCACGCCGGCAGGAGACGGTCGCGAAATCATTGGAGGCTGAATTTGGAGCAGGCATTACAGATATACAACCAACCCCGCGTTCCAGGGAGCTTCTAGTTTGCCCGCCATATACGACTTTTTCAAGCCCTAGTCCGGATTTCTGGTGCCAAAACCTCGCGGGAGGCACGACGCCAAAGCAGCACCGAGGCCAATGATCTTCCTCTCTCCTTTCTTAAAGAAGAAGGAATAACTCCCTTAGTTGATTCTGAACCTCAATGTCCGTCCAGGATACAACCAGGCTGACAGCACATGCGAACTGCAAATATGAAAAAGAAGAAGAAATAAGAGGGTATGCGTGAGCCCGAGGGCACAAGCAATACGAAAAACCAGACAGACAGACGCTAAGAAGCCTTCGGCGGGTATATCGTTATGTATACAACGACCCACTCTGCTTCATGTCTCGACGACGACGAAAATGAAGCTTCTTTCTCTTCCTCCTCCTGGTTCTCGCGCGCCTGTCGCCTCGTGGTTTACCGCCAGCTCAACAAGGAGACGCCAGACGGACGCAACGCAGCACTTCCTGCGCGCGTTCTCAGCTTACCCTGCCTGCAACTCAGCAGCAGTCAGCAGCGGTTTTCGGCTGCCTGTACGCGATGGCAAGCGTGAATCAGCCCTCCTTCTCGACGGAGTTAGCGGCGTAGCGGGCGGCGCGGGCATACAGCGGATCCACAATACTTCCACCATCGCGGCTGGGGTCCGATGACGAGGTCCATGAACGGCAACAAAGCCAGGAGAACGTAGTTTCGTGCCCAGGATGTTAAAAGCAGGGCTTTGATGACGCGCACCCAGGCCTGAGTACGAATGGGCCGGTCTTGGGATGCCGCTCGGCCTCCTTGCCATGTTGTCTCTATCAGACTGTCCGCGATTGCACGGCGGGCGGGCTCGCTGGTTCCACCCGCCTTGTGGACGAGAACGTTCGGCGGCGGCGGACAAGGGGCAAGGAGATGACCGAGCCAGACAGCGGTGCGTTCGATGCTCTTTGTCGTTCGCTTTTGCGAGAACGGTGGAGATGTCCATGGGATTTCGGGCATCGCAACCGTCGATATCCGGAGCACATGCGCGTACATATTCTGGCCACTGCGCCGAGGTGCAATTGTAATATCGCCGGCCGTGTCTGCTAAATCCTTCAGAAACCGGGGTTGAGCATGTCAGCCCAGGCGAGAAATTTTGGAAGGTACTCGTACCAGATCCTAAATCACTCACCAAAATAGCTCAAAAGCTAAGAATGGATCTTTTCCCCGAAGCATTAAAAGCGACAAGATTGGTCTCCGGATTCAACTGCCCACTCCCTCGTCAAGCGCTGGGGCTCGACGTTGACCCCCCCGTTTGAATTTGACCGCCATATTTGAAAATTCCCTCTCACCGCCATCTCTGCGTTGTCACCATATACTGGCCTGGTCATCTGTGGTTCTAATTGTCTTCTTTCTGATCAAGTTCTACATCTTGGAACTCTTCCTCCTTCGAAAAGTATACAGCAGAAAGTGTACAGACTTGGACGAAATAAACCGCCATGGCTTCGATGGCTTCGTCAATCACCACATCGCGGGTGGGACGGCATTGTTTATCTTGTTCATCGTAGTGTATCCCTTTGGCCTTTGGCATCGCTCGATTTCACACACAATTCACGACCCATTCAGCATCCATGCATTCCATCCGAGGCACTCGCAGGAGCCCTCGACATAATATCAGAGTTTCTGCTGCATCTTCTTACCACCGTGTTTATCCGAGTCGCATCGTTTCCTTGCGATGCTCTTCCGCGCGGCATGTCTCACGACGTTCTTTGGCACAATCGCAGAGACCATAGTTGCAACGTTCTTCTTCGCCGTTGGACCGCGACATTTATGCAACCCCAGCATTGCATGTCGCACTCTCGGCAGCCCAGTTGCACAGGACCCGCATTTCTTACAGGATGTGGAAGGAGCAGGAGAAGATCATTTGTGATCAACTGGACGCGGAAAATATGGCGGGGGTGGTGAACAACATTGCACCCACTGGGCCTAGTTGGAACTACTTCTCTTGTAGTCCCTGCCGTCTACGGAACCAGATGTATTGATTGTAAACTCTTGGATATTACATGTGTCCTTGATTAGACTAGAGGAGGAAGGCCCAACTGTCAGGGACTCGGCAGACAAAGACCGAATTTCCCTTTCAAAACGACTCAACGCCAGCATCCTATTTTGGAAAATTATTTCCCCCGTCCGTGAAACCTTCTACAAAAATCAGGTACGTTCTACAGCTGTTTGGAGGTCTGAGGAGGGGGGTCCGGAGGGGGTCAAAAAAGAACGACGCCGATTCGAACACACGCAGACGTATTGTGGGGTTCGAAGAGCTACTTGGGATGAATATCAAGACAAAAAGAATGAAAACCGAAACAACACATGTGCGATTCGAACACACGCGGGGATGTTGTGCGTAGTGTTCAAATAGCTACTTGGGATGAAAATCAGCTAAAAAGACGCAAAAACGACACCTGTGCGATTCGAACACACGCGGAGAAACTCCAATGCCTCGGAGCCACCAGTCATCCGGATGTGACTGGATTAGCAGGGCATCGCCTTAACCACTCGGCCAAAGTGTCATGAAACATGATGGAACGTTAAGACCGAGACGTGCACCTAGTGTTAGTGCCAGCCTGCCACCGGGCCCCCAAATTGGGATGTCCTGAGACGACGCTTAGGACGTCTCCGACCCGGGCCGGCCACGTCTTGCATTTCGATGTTGCCCCAAGTTCGACGGTATGGGACCCTGCTGCTCTTTGACTCGCGTTACTTCTGGTGGCTGGCGTCCTTCGTCATCTTGGGTGATTTCCTGTTCTCCCAGCTCATCATCCGTTTCGTCTCATGTCAGTCACCAGTGAGGTTCGCCAGTAAAGAAAACTAAAGGCTAATGTTTCTCAGACACCGAAATCGACTGGGAAACCTACATGGTCCAAACGGATGTCTATTTGAAGGGAGAACTCGACTATTCTAGAATCACTGGACCAACTGGGCCCCTAGTGTGCGTTGTACCAATATCTTACTAGTTCAAGACTGATGAAAACACTTAGCTATCCTGCGGGCCATTTACATATTCACCGGCTCCTGCATCTCCTTACCGATGGTGGTGCAAATATTCCAATGGCCCAGCAGATATACGCTATTCTGTATATCGTTTCCCTCGTACTCACTTGCCGGATATACTCGTTGGCGGGCGGGATCCCCAATTGGGCAGTGCTACTGCTGCCCATGAGCAAACGCCTGCATTCAATTTATTTTCTGCGATTATTCAACGACTGTTGGGCCGTTATGTTTATCCAGGCTGCCATAGTCGCGTACCAGACGGGCTTTGACGAGATTGGCACACTGCTTTTCAGGTATGTTTTCGTGTCGATAAACACTGACCATTAACTACCCTCAAATCAGTGCGGCTTTGTCTGTGAAAATGTCCATACTGCTCTATCTTCCCGCTCTGCTAGTGTTTCTTTTCAAGCGCACTGGTGTCCTCGCAACTTGCCGTCATCTGGTGACCCTCATTGCTTCCAACGCGCTCCTTGCGCTCCCGTTTCTGGAAGAGGACTACTGGGCGTACTTGCGGTCAGCATTTGATCTATCCAGAGTATTTCTATACAAGTGGACTGTCAACTGGAAAATGGTTCCCGAGAAAACATTCTTGAGCCAACAGTGGGCAACCGGCTTGCTATTGGGTCAAGTTTCTGCATTGGCTGCCTTTGGCCTTTTCATATGGTGCAAGGAGGACGGCGGCGTTTGGATGGTACTCCGACGTGGTTTCCGGAAACCTGACTTTCCAGCCAGCTTTGCTCCCGTAACAGCAGATCGTGCGCGATTTCTTTCTCTACCAGATTATCTTCTGAAGCCGTTGCAGATATCGCAACAATCTTCTTCACCTCAAATTTAATAGGCATCTTATTTGCACGCTCACTCCATTACCAATTCCACTCCTGGTATGCACAGCAGCTTCCCTTCTTGGCCTGGAGGACACGATACCCAATCCCTATAAAGTGGGTCTTCACTCTGAGCAGGGCGTGTTCGGTTCTCAGCGTTTCCTAGAATTGCTTTAATCTTTGGCATTGAATATTCGTGGAACGTTTTTCCGTCTACGCCCTTCTCTTCGACGGTTCTCTTGGGAGCAAATACCCTTCTCCTCGCAGGCATATGGACTGGCTATCCTAACGGTATTTAATAATTTAACTTACATAATTTAAACAATACCACCGGCAGTGTACAGACAAAAGGTTATCCAGAACCCATTCCCAGCACGAATGTACTTCTACCCCCGCGAGGTAACACCAGCACGGTTTCGGCACCGTGAACTTGATATGTTTCGGTGCTCGGAATGGCCATCGAGCCCATTGTTACTTCTCCTGCCAATGGCAAGGCCGTAACAATGATTTTTGGAAGCTCCAATTCCCCGTGATGCAGCGCAATCAGTGTGATAGGCACGCTGTACGTAGCGTCGTCCTAGAGAACGTGTCATAATGCCGGCCTCAACAAAAGAAAGAGTACCAGTACCTTGGCGGCGAAATCCCCCCGTTTCCTGCCACTTACCAGCCACTCGCGCACCATCTCCTCGACATCGAAACGCATCATATACGATCGTTCCTTGTCATTGAAGCTGGAGCCCCAGTGGAACGAGGTGTGGATGGTTAAGATCGCAGGGATCGGTTGTCCTGCGTAAAGCGAGGAATTATGTTCCGTTCCTGGAGATGTGGAAGGTTCCAGGCGAATACGCGCCGCGGCGACAATCTTCGATATTATCAGAGTAAGTTGACGCATCAAAGGGATAACCAACGTTCATGTACGGTACGTCCACGGGGATCTTGATTTCCCGCCACTTTCCTTCGGGCGGATGGGGATGCTTATGTTCATGTAAAAGCTGTAGCAAGGGCATCAGCGAAACCCCTTGGAGCTGACCAAGTATACAAGCCTTTATCACTTGGCGGAGAGAGTCATCGGTGTCGCCCAGTTCACCCAATACCTCGGGAACATCAAGTTCGCCGGACATTCCGTACATCTCCACCCAGCTACTATCCTGTTCCAGCGCTTCAACTAGTCTGTTTACAAGGCCCACTCTCTCTGCAAGTAAGGCCGTCGAATCGGATAAAACTTGCTCAACCGAGCTCTCTATCAAAGCTTCCACTTCTAAAAAGGAGTGACGATAGATGCGCGTCAGGCACAGCATCTCTTACCTTCGCGTAGCATGCGGTAGCTGATACGGAACTTGAGGGATTCTCGCACTGAGCCATTCACAGAATCGAGGTAGAACAGAAAATTGGCAGGTTGGGCCGGTGTCACAGTCTACTGCCATTTTTAGCGAAAAATTTGAACAATTGGACAAGCCTACCACAACGTTGCGCGCCTGAGGCGAGCATGCTACTATATTGACACCGTCCAAACCACCATGAGGCATCTGTAACTGGGCAGCCGATATGCGCACATGCTGGTGGCTTGTGGTGGAGATGGTAAACTTTGAGAAGAGCCTAGAAGCAGGGCATAAGATATGGTGGACGTAAAAGTTGCCACTGCGAACCGATTTCCACGGAAAAAATCTTCAACATTAACGGAGATCGGTAATGTAGTCGCTACAACTCGCGCCAGGTGAAGTGTCCGAGTGATGTCTGGCTCTTGAGCCGTTACATACTCCACTTCGACGTCAATTTTCTAAAAGTACCAAATCGGGAGTGAAGATAACGTTGAAGACGAAGCTTACCATGGCATGAAAGGCAGATGCATCGGAATACGGAAGCAAAAGTTCAAGATGGCTGGCTTCAGAAACATCCAAAAGAGATATGCAAGCATCATCAGCCTGGAGCGGGCCCGAGCCATTCGGGGCTTTTGGAGAGTAAGAAAGCGTAATCATTCAGCAAGGATGGATTACCGTTTGTGAGGGCGGCCTGTGGATAACGGAAAGTGACAGAGGGAGCATGGAATCTGATCGAGGCTTTCGCAATATGATTCCTTCCAGTGGAGACGGCAACAAGGAGCGTTGGTGGTTTCCCAAGCTCGACTGTCCATCCGAATGAGCGCAATGAAACAATCTCCCTGAGAAATCACTTACTGAGGTTCGGCTGATGGAGACGAACGTCCATCCCCAAAAGATCCCGAGGTATTCGAACCAACGAAAAGTCATGTCGACGACCCGAAGGTTTTCGGCCGGGAAGGGCTTTTCGGTGTGTCCATTGGAAGACAAGATGGGACATACGAGCCTCTGTGCTCTCAAGGATATATGTACCTGCCGACGAAGTCTAATCGAACGTTACCACGTTGACATCAACAGATGCATTGCACGCACTGGACAGAATAAGGTGGCGTCGGTCTTTCCCGGAGGTATGGCCGTGCTGTGCGCAGAAAATCTCAAACGCTCCGAGTCTCTTCCGGACAGAATTGCAACTATTTCGTCGATAGGGACAGCCTTCATTACGATGAGTCGAAAAAGGTGAAGGACAAAGTAAAAGACATTACACATGGTAAGTGGTTGTGAATGACCACGTCAAGGAATGAACCGTCTTTGTTCCCTGCTGGTTTTGCGGTCCCCGATACTTGTATTGACATGGCGGGATGTTCCGGATGGGACAGGTCTGAAACTCAAAAGTCAGCGGGGCATGTGCGGGGAACAAATGTCCCGACCAGAGTCAAGTTGAGTTGCCGATTCCCTCATAGCCTGGACAAGACGGGAGATGTACTCCTCACTATCTTCCTCATGCATGAGTAAATCCAGCCCCACAGTATCAACGTAGGTCTTCAAGAATGAAAGCAGGATGTGAATCCATTCGCGGTCTTTGGACTTGTCCAGCGACGCATGTGTATCCAATGCCAGAGACAACATCAGCGACTCTAAAGAAGTCCACATATGCGGAGCGTAATGTGCCGGCAAAGACGTATATGTCGTCAAGGCGGCCGCTAGTCGTCCACGGTGTCTTAAGTTCCTATCAGTTGGTTATAAATTTGAGAAATGAACACGCCTACACATCAAGAGCCGCTAGGCTTCCGTGTAATTTGAGAGCAAATTTCCGTCTACCTGCCTTGGCGTACATGTCAATTGCACGATTTGTTATTTCCACGTATGTGTCGTAAAAGGTGTCTCGGTGCTGGATAGATTCCAAAATGTCTGTACTCGAGATCTTCTTTTCAGACGCAGCCGAGCCAGACGACGAAGGTGGACGCGGAGAGTTGGAAAAGGGAGGACGTGTAGGGAGATGACCAACTTTGACACCTATGATGTCCAGCTTATTTACGATGAGGAAGGTGCAAGAGCAGTGATGGAAAGCTCAGTACCTGGTTTCGAGCCAGCTCTAATAATTCGCCTTTACCTGCGTTGAAAGTGCTAAGCTTGGAACCTTGGAGACTAAGGTTGGCCGCCCAGGTGTCACATTGATCCACAACACTCAGGGCGGAAGAATACGTCCACGATTCAACAAAGAATTCCGGGATCGTATCCTGAGGAGAATGAACACCGAATCTGCTTATGGACTGGATTCACGTACCTCGACTTCACATAATCGACGTCCGAATGCCCCGAGAAATGCCGCAGCCTTTCTGCTGACCTCATTAATCCGCCCCAGATTCGCAAGAAGTTCGCATT